GTACTTTCTAAGCAGGTGCGCTTCTCATGTCTTTGTCTCTCTGTTTTTCTACCGGCCAGGGTCTACTGCATACGCATTTCTTCACAAGCAGACGATGAAGTGTGGAGTCGACGATGCATGCAGTAGCAATTTTCTCCACAAGCAGGCCGTTGAAGCAACAACTGAACTGGTAGAGACTGGCTGTTAAATTTCTCAGCATTGTTGGAAAATGCTTGAAATCAAACTTATGTTGACTTATGTTTTGGGTTGCACGTCTGAGTAACTGTAAAACATAAAGGGGAGCGAAAACAGCTGACAGTACAAGTCCAATTCAGATTTTGGTGGGGGTATTAATCAGCTACTGACTAAACGAATGGGCGAATTAGGCAAGCTAATTCTTCAAATCAAGATCAAACTCAAACTCATCCTTGCTGTTTGATTCTCCGGAGAGCCAGAGCTGCTTCCTGATCACCAAGCATGAAGTTGCGCCGGCCGGCGGGTCCTGCTGAACTTGTGAACCCACATCGTCAGGCTTGCTCTCTACTCTCACCACTTGGACCAAAATGCTCTTATGGCAACGATTATGCATCACGGGATCAATGGGGTATTCTCCCAACATGTCCTCAGATGGTTTTTTTTTTTTGAAAAAAAACCTGGACTCTATTAATTGGAGATAACGGTTACATCACTTACATGTCCTCAGATGGTTCTGTTTGCATTACATTGTACGCAAAGATGTTACCTCGAATCAAGAAATATTTTTCACTACGAAGAATGAAAGTCCATGGAGTGGAAAAGTTGTTCGCAGAGCACTGAGATAATGTTTTATCGGTAAGGGGAAATGTGCCATCAAACAGAAATTTAATTGGTTAATTAAATAAGAAATACAATGCATTCATCTCACGATGAAATAAGTATATCGGTATATGTCCAAAAAAATGCGTCCACCATCACAAAGATGCATGTTATATGGCCCAGAAATAAATCAGGAGTGAAAGCAAACACATACCTACTCATCTAAGTTCCGAAAAAGGATTTTCACCTACTTTGTATTACAAAGCAAACACATACCTGCTCATCTAAGTTCTACACTCTAGCTCTCGGGACATGGATATATTGTTTTATCTGCAAGAGAAAATGTACCATCACACACGGACAATTGTTTTGACTAAATTAAAAGAAAATGATGTTTTCACTTCAGAATTAAAATGTGTGTATCACAAGAAAAAAGAGAGTAATGCTAGACATGCAGAATGGTTTACGGGGGTTTTACAGACTGATTAGGAATGGATGGTTGGAATGAAATTCATGGAGGCAGGCCCACTAGTGAAATTCAAGGGAGGGACAATTAGAGAAGCACACACACACCTTCATCGTCCATACCTTCCGTAAGGCAAGGCCCGTAACTCTGGGATTGTTGGGAGAAGAATGCTTCCACCACAAAAATGCATTTTGAGCGGCTTGGAGATAAATCATGGGTGAATCAGGATTTTTCTGGATCAATGTCCTATCTCTGGATCCCTAGATAAGCTGCAATGGCGTTGACCATCTCTGGATCCTACACGGCAAAGTCATGCTATGATCAATTGTTTGTCAGATCCATTGTTGATCCACATTGGGGCCTGACATGGAAAACATGGGTGCCCCCTACGAATAAAAGTCTTCCTCTGGCTAGCCTTCTAAGGACGATGATGCTAGACCGACAACCGGCTTGCTCGTGGCAGCTTACCCACAACTCCTCGTGCATCCTTTGTGATCAAGAGTCAGAGTGTATGCAACATTTGCTCAGCGGATGCCCCTTCTCTCGCCAAGTGTTCTAGGAGATCCTCTCCTGTTGTAGGCTCACAACAACCATCATCTCCGTCGATGTCCCCTTCCTCGAGTGGTGGGCTGCTTCCTTCCTCTTGACCCCGGCTTCGATGTGCAAGGGATTCACCTCCACCATCTCCCTCACTGCATGGTGGCTTTGGAAACACCTGAACGACCTTACCTTTGACGCCATTGACCCACATTACCCGCGTCACTAAAACCATCCGCGATGAGGCATGCCTCTGTGCTCGAGGCTTGTGGATTACTTAACATTTTCTCTTTGGGGTTGAGCACTCCCCCTTCATGTAATTCTTAGGTTTTGCATATCGCACCTCCACGTGTGTTTGCGAACCCGTGCCTAACCTTACATGTATCAATTCTTTGTACCCAGAGGTGGAGCCACGTTATAGCCCCGCCTGGACAAAAAATAAGAATTTATTAAAGTGATGTAAACATCCATTATTTGTGCTCCCCCGGCCCCCTCTCAAAAATAGATTTTGCATAGCTCTGCCTATCAATGAATAATGCAAGGCTTTGCGTATTTCACGAAAGAAAATACAAGATTTTCAGTTGAAAACAACTCACAAGAATTGATTTCTAAAAATGCTGCATGCAAGAAGCCATTCTAGTATTGGTTTTACATGTTTATCTCATACTCCCTCCGTTCTTAAATATTTGTCTTTCTAAAGATTTCAACAAGTGACTACATACGGAGCAAAATGAGTGAATCTACACTCTAAAATATGTCCATATACATCTGGTTGTGGTAGTCCATTTGGAATATCTAAGAGCAACTCCAATGGGGCGACCCATTTCGTCCGCCCGCGTCTGTTTGGGTCGGCGCGGACAAAAGTGATGGCCCAACGCGCCGACCCAAACGGACGCGCGTCCGTTTTTCGTCCGCAGGCGACCCATTCCAGGCCCATTTTTGAGCCGGATTTACGTCGGGGCGGACACGAGACGGACGCGCGCGCGCTCGCCCTCTTTCCTCACCGGGCCCGCTGGTCGGTGGCACATTGGATTCACACTCTCGCCCGCCTGCCACGTCGCCGATGCCGCCGGCCATTTTTTCTAGATAAAAATGGATACATAGATAATTCTAGCTGCGGGAGTCCTGGATAGGGGGTCTCCGGACAGCTGGACTATCTCCATTGGCCGGACTGTTAGACTATGAAGATATAAGATTGAAGACTTCGTCTCGTGTCCGGATGAGACTTTACTTGGCGTGGAAGGCAAGCTAGGCAATGCGTATATGGATATCTCTTCATTTGTAACCGACCTTGTGTAACCCTAACCCTCTCCGATGTCTATATAAACCGAAGGGTTTTAGTCCGTAGGACATACAATCACAACATACACTCATACCATAGGCTAGCTTCTAGGGTTTAGCCTCTCTGATCTCGTGGTTGATCTACTCTTGTAACACTCATATCATCAGTATCAATCAAGCAGGACGTAGGGTTTTACCTCCATCAAGAGGGCCCGAACCTGGGTAAAACTTCGTGTCCCTTGCCTCCTGTTACCATCCGGCCTAGACGCACAGTTCGGGACCCCCTACCCGAGATCCGCTGGTTTTGACATTGACACTAGCGTACACAGATAAAAAGAAAAGACCACTACTCATCGATTTCTAACTCCGACTCGGTAATGTCCTCCTCCGATGTCTGAATGTAGGTGTCAGCATGCCTCGTCTTCAAAGTCCCAACCCGCCGTTTCTCGTAGCTTCAATTTCAATTGAGCTGCCTGCTTCCGCGAACGCTTGTCCTCCCGATAGGCGGCTCGCTCCCTCCTCCTCGCATCCCTCTCCGATCTCAATTGCTTGTAGAACTGGCGCTCGTCGACGATGTCCTGCGGGTAGCCTCCACGCCACAGCACCAAGGCTTCCACGTCCTTCTCTGCGATGGCGAGGCGACGCTGCCGCCTCCGGTGAACACGACGATCCTCGTCGGTGAAAAGCCGCGGGAGAGGCGCCAGATCCTGCGCCCGCTGGCTCGACACGTTGGGAAAATTCATATCCCGACGAGGCCTCAGGAGGCACCACGCTGCCGCGTCGTGTGCGCGGGCCGCCTCCTCTGCGGTGTCGAAGGTGCCGAGGGCGAGACGTTTCTCGCGAAACCAGATCTCGGCGGAGAAGGCGCCGGAGCGGCGCTCGCGGACTCCGCGAAAATCCGAAGCGTGTAGGCGGTGGATCGACATGGTGGCGCAGAGACGGCGAGAGTGGGCGGCCGACAGAGTGTGGAGAGAGCGCCTTCTTTTATAGCGAGCGCCGGCCGCGGCGCGCGCGTGAACCTTTCCCGCGCGCTGGAGCGCCAAAACCAGCGCGCGCGAACCTTTCCCGCGTGCTGAAGCGTCAAAATCAGGGCGACGACACGATGTTAAACGCGCGCGGTCATGAAAATGGGTCGGCCCGTTGGACGCACTGCCGACCCAAAACTAAAAGAGGGCGGACGGCCCAAACGGACAAAAAACGGATAAAAACGCCGTCCGTTTGGGTTGGCCCGTTGGAGTTGCTTTAAAAAGACAAATATTTAGGAACGGGGGAAGTATATTTTTGAAAAAAAACATGTGTAAACCCGAGGGGGGGTGGGGGGCGAAATCATGTGTGTTACACATATAGTTTTTTCAAATCCGTGTTTCATTTTGAGCCAAAAATCCGTGTTCACTAACAATGAAAAACTTCGACCCGTTTTGAATCCCGCTCTCGCTGCTTCCGGGGCCCACCTAGCAGACCCTCTATTCCAACTTCCTTTTATCCTTTGTTTGGTGGTGGGCGTGGCTATCTGGCGCGCGAGCGTTCCAACGCTCGTTTTCCGACAGTCTTCAATTTGGAAAGTGGCTTAACTTACGTGGATTAATTAGGGATGGTTAATTAGAGGCGGGCCCCCTAAAAATCAGGGGGGCGGTGATTAGTGTTGATTTGGGTGGGGCCGCCTCCCTCTTGCCTTGCCTAGCCTTTGCATGTGTGTGCGCTGGAAGTCTCACCCGGTGGGCCTTGATGAAAAGATTTGTCGGCTGATTAGTTGTGATGGACTAGATCGCCCGTTGTAGCGACCGATCGCTAGGAAGTCGTTTCGCCTTTGTTTTTCTTCAAGCCACGCAGCCAGCACACAACACAACACAGCAGACACACACAGGAAACCTCACTCGCTCCGTACAGTGCCCACACTCCTCCCCACCAAAACCCTCACCTCCGCCGCCGCCCGCCGGCGCCGATGGCCGAGCTCGCAGTCGCAGAGGACCTCTTACTCCGCCTTGCGCCGGAGCTGGTCGACGCGGTCCTCCTCCGCCTCCCGCCGGGAGAGCCCGCCTGCCTCGTCCGCGCCTCCGTCGTCTGCAAGCCCTGGTTCCGCATCCTCGCCGATCCGGGATTCCGCCGCCGCTACCTCGAGTTCCACCGGACGCCCTCCGTCCTGGGTCTCTTCGAGGACGACGGTGCCTACGTCCGCACCTCCGCCCTCCCCTCCGTCTACCCTGGCCGTGGCCGCTTGGTCGACAGGCCCCTGGACTGCCGCCACGGCCGCGCGCTCCTCGCCCCCTACAGCCGCTCCTTCAGGGAAGGGGAGGCCGTCATCCTGACCGTCCTCGACCCTCTCACTGGCCGCCTGCGCCGCGTGCTCTCTCCGGTCGACGAACATGTGCTCTGGTTCAGTGCGGCGGTGCTCTGCGCCGCGCAAGGCTGCGACCACTACGGTTGCCAAGGAGGGCATTTCCGTCTCGCCGTCGTGACCACCGATGATGCAGGAGTCACGTCGGGCTGGCTCTACTCGTCGGAGACTCACGTGTGGAGCGAGCTCACCACCGTTGGTCACCCCGAGGTCGCCTACTGTGCCAACCAAGGTGCGCCAAGCGTCCTTGTCGGAGAGACACTCTACTTCAACATCGATGGCATCATCGAGCTTCACCTCGGTAAACTCTGCTTGTCAAAGTTTGAGAAGCCGATCGCTGGCAAGGGGCGTCTCATGACGGCGCAAGGCGGTGGCCTCGGATTCATTGCTATGGTGAATGTCACAAATCTAACCATGTGGTCAGGGGAGGCTGGAGCTGGACCGAAGGGAGCCATGGAATGGACAAAGCTCAGGATAATCGATCTTAGGAAGCTGCTCCCTGCCGGGGCTCTCATGACCCAAACAGTTGATTATGGGATTAATGGCGTCGCCGAGGGCACCCAAGTCATATTTGTGAGCACATGTCTTGGTTCCTACATGGTCGATCTCAAATCTCGACAAGTCAGGATGGTGTCTGGTCGTGGCAGAAACATCACTCCCTACATGAGCTTCTACATCCCAGGTACTAGTATTACTTATGTGCATATATATAACCCTGTACAATCCCTTGACACGGTCTGTTTGTGGCACTAAGCACTATAAAATGAAAAATATGTTTCTTAGAAAGTAGCGTTACACATGACGGCGCACGTTGTGCTCAAGAAAGATAATTCTATGAACATCTGGGCTTAGTTGTGTGTTTGGGTTAGTGCCACTTGTTAGTCCTTGTGATTGTCGGGTAAGCAAATTGTACATTAAGGTGAAACTGATTCATCAGTCAATTGATTTTATATTATTCTGATTTTACAGGTTTTATATATGTGGCGTGCACATATATAAACCCTGTAAAATCCTTTGGTACAATATGTCTGTGGCACTAAGCAATATAAGATGAAAATATGTTTCTTAGCAAGTAACCTTATACATGATGATACAATTTTGTGCTCAAGAAAGATGATTATATGAACATCTGGACTAGTGTTAGTGGTGCGTTTGCGTTAGTGCCACTTGTTGGCCTTTGTTATTGTTGAGTAAGCAAAATGTACATTAAGGTGAACCCGATTCAATAATCAATTGTTTTTACATTATTCTGATTTCGTGCATTTCTACAGCAATTAAAGCAGCTTCCACTAGCAAGGGGCAGTGAGCTGGTGCTTCAAGTGTTCGCCGGGCTGGAGCAAGAGGGAGGCGGTAGTACTGTTGTTAGATGTGGCACAAGTGTGGCTCTGGATCTGCAGTGAGATCATCACTTGGTGTTAGTTTAGTAGGGCTATGGAACTTTGTTTAGGAGTGTTGCGCCCCCGCTTGCATTTTGTAAAGACCTTTCCAGTCTTGTGATCGTGAGAAGTATGGCGGCAGCAAGCACGGCGTGATGATGGTCTAACGGGAACCTGCTGACCTACTATGGCAAATGACCTGAATATCATGTCTGAATTCGAAATGTGGACACTGGTACTTTTAAGCATGTGTACTTCTCATGTGTTGTCTCTGTTTTTCATCTGAGATCTAAGCTGTTACTCCTGGCCCTCATACTGCATTCATTGGCATTTCTCCACAAGCAGATGGTGAAGTGTGGAATTGACAATGCACACAGTAGCAATTTTCCCCACAAGCAGACCATCTGCTCTGGGGACTGGTAGTAGCCACCGGCATCGAAGCAACCGGACTAATAGAAACTGCCTGTTAGATTTCTGGAGAAATGCTTCAAGTCAAACTTATGTTTACATATGTTTTGCAATATACGTGTGAGTGACTGTAAAACATAAAGGGGAGCGAAAATAGCTGACTTCCTAAAACACCGCTCTTTACATGTGTTGGTTCCTACATGTCTTCTCTGAAAGAATTCATGAAATGACTCTGAAGTCTGAACCACCTAAAGGATAAATAAAGCCGCAAAACTTGTTGACGCACTCTTGAATGTTGTACCAACAATGGCTGAGCGACTTCCAATTGCGTTGACGGATCACTTCCTTGCGGTGTAGGGATCATAGCGCTTTTCCTCGTGAAACCAAATATGCCCGCTTTGCCCAAACGCCGTGCACCTTTGCTTCGTGCCTTGAAACGGGTCGATACTAGTGGCCAACCACTCCTAGAAATCCCGAAGTGCAAGGAGTTATCGTAGCACTCTCCAATGTGGATGTGTAAGTATATGAGTGCCGAACCAAAAGGGAGCTAAAGGTAGGTGTCTTAATCTCTCAAGTTCCGTATGCCACTTATGCAACTATCCCTGTACTTACCGTTACTTTACCTAGACTCTCTACAACTAATATAGGATGCAAGGGTATAACTGAAGTACTAAGAAACTAAAAGTGGTGCTGTTATGTATTTTAGTTACAAAAATAAAAACTGAGAAAGTGTTTGTGGTTGTGGTTGTGAAGGTAGTAGTGGTGGAATTGTTCCTAGGGAATTGGTAACATCATTAAACCACCGGCACACATGATTGTTACGATTATCATGTGGGAGGGGCGTCTTCTTACATACTGCCAAAACATGGTCTCACATGTATTTATAATTCTCATCTTAGCAAGTGATACAAATACTAAGATTCATTAAGATGAAAACCAAACTATAGCCATAACTTCCTCTAGGGTTCCTCTCAAACCATAACAATCCAAACTATAGCCATAACTTCCTCCAGGGTTCCTCTCGAACCCCCTTGCTCAGACTTAGTTCAGTTTGCTCCTTGTTTGGAAGTTGTTGCTTTCATGCTTGCAGTCATGTTTGTGGGAACTCTGCTTAAGAAGTGCTTGCTTCCGTGCTTGCAATTTGCAAAGAGTTTTAAGTCCAGTCAGTTTGTAAAAGACTTTCCCAGTCTGCGATAGAAGGTGTATACATGCATACTTCTTAGGTAAATCATACTTGCATGTGGAATCGACATTGCATACATGTGCCTCTGAATACAAAAAATGATTGACTTGAAACATCTAATATGTATATATGAGAACAACCGGTATACAGGTGAGATCAGCAGAGCTGTTAGTTCCTAGGTCAAAAACAATTGACACATGTACATGGTGTCAGCATCTAGCTAGTGTCAGAATCAGTAGCTGAATTAACCAGCCACTGACCAAAAGAATGAGCGAATTACGCAAGCTAATTCTCCAGAGAGCCTCCAAATCAAAGATCAAACTCGAACTCATCCTTGCTGTTTGATTCTGCAGAGAGCCGGGTGCTGCTTTTCAATTACCAGGCAGCCTCGTTGTCATCTGGCGTTGCAGCATTGAGCGCTCCCGGACTGCAGCTTCCTCCAGAGGCAGATCATGTGCTGCGGCGACTGGTAGTGCGCCGTGTAGTAGCCGTCGAAGCAGCCGGCCTGGAAGAACTTGACGTCGTGCGAATACTCCACCGGCTGGCGAGTCTTACTGAACTTCTGAACCCACATGCCCATGCTCACGTCCTCCATCTTGAACAGCTGCATCAGTCAAGGGAAACGCGTCCGGTTTATTAGGTTCTAGACACACTACACAGATGCTTCGATATTTACTTGCTGACAAGGATGGTGGTGGTGACTTACTCTCAGTTTCTGGTTGTCAAACTCGGATACGATGTACTCAGCGATGTCTGATGAAATCACATAGCCCGGTCCGTTTGCGTAAGGTGGGTATACTTCCTCTTCCCATTCCTGAAGAGCAGCAGGAAAATTACAACACACTCATGTATGCAGGGTCAAATATATCACTACTACCTGGAGAAAATTGCCACAATTATGACACATACTTTTTTTCGGAAAAGAAATATCATACTCTAATACCACTACCAGGTATTGTAAAATATAACACCCTGTGTTGATAGGTTGATCAATAATTCATTTGCAAGCATAATCATAGCTCCAGCTACCAGGTAAACCCATGCTTGCTTTAGGAAAGGCAGAGGCTAGCATGAACGCACTAAAACATGAGACTGGAAAGGGGAACTAACAGATATGACCCGTAAAGCATTAATATGCTGAATAATGGAGGTCAAGTCACACCGATGCAGGAATTTGCATGGCCCAAGTGCCCAACACACAAGGATTCTTTCAGTTTTTTTATTAAAAGGAAAAGGCATGCTACATGTAATTGCAAAGGAAGCTGAATCATATCATACCTCATACGTTACAGCCCACTTTCCAGATCGCAGAGGCCTGTGGTAGTAGTTTATGTTCCCCACATACATGCTCCCCCCGTTCTTTACTTTCTTCACTTGATCCAACACCGCGTCAATTCTAACAAATGTGTCGTCGTCACACTTCATTACGTATTTCGCTTGCACAACTCGCACCTATAAATAAAATAGACAAGGTCAGAATGAGCATTTTTGTCGATGGAGCTGAAGCATGATCGAAGAACAGTTAAAAACGTATTAGTTTTTCTTACCCCATACTCAGCAATGGCAATAGTCTTTAAAACAACAAGGTCATAGCTATCCATGAAAGGGACCAGAACAATGTCACCAAAGAACTCTGCCTCCTTTTTCAGTTCTTCGTTGACCTCTTTTTTCCCATTCTGTAAACAAGTCTTCTATTAGAGTTTGCAGAAGTCAGCAATATAACTGTTAAGGTGTAGCAATCAATCATCCACAGGTGCTTACCAGAGCGACGAAGAACCGGGCAACACTGTTGGACGATCTCCTTGTGGCAATCATCCATGACTTGCGAACGGCCATCCGCTCGGCGAAATGGTTGGCTGCAGAAAGGATGCCAATGAACAGCTCGACAGGTTCAGTCGGCAGAGGTGAGGTCTTCCACTGTTCAGACATTTCGAGGTATCGCTGTGGGTCGAAGCTAGGGTGTGATTTGGGCAGATGGGCGGCAGAAATCGACTCGATGTCAAGGTCCCCGTTCAACGACAGGCCGGTCGCGTCCTCGAGATTGTAACCCTGTTAGTTAAACCAACAGATTGACAGCCCGTCAGATAACAAGTTCTCCATCCATGATATACTATGTAAGTAAGCAACGAGCAATCTCTGTAGAGGCATGGCAAAATTCTTACAGTGCGGTAAGGGAAGGATGCGACATGTCGGCCATCGACATTGACATGGTAGCCTTCAAGACCAGCTGTGATGGTTAGGACAAAGAGCTTGCCCTCTGCAAAGGGGTATGCCTGATCGACAGAGACCTCGTCTGGCTCCGGTTTGCCGATCAAACTGTTGAGCAGCCACTTTATGTTTGATGATGATTCATCTGTCTTGGGGCCATCATCCCGAGTCCATTTCTCACACTTGATTTCGCCATCAACTGAAAGAACAAAACCAGCATGTTAAATTGTTTTGGTTTTGACGGCATCAAGCAAATTGAGTGATGCAAATTGTTTTAGTTTTAACGAACAAATAGCTTCCAAACTGAATAGTACTCTGCAATCGAAGGAGCATATTCAATTTCCTAGCGAACGATGGGATTAAAGCAAAATTTAGACTCTGCAACCGAGGGAGCTCACCTCTGTCGTCTTCTGGCCGGGACGGCGGGCCCTCGCAGCGCTGCGGCAGCGCCCACTGCATGCGGTAGCAGGTGTTGAGCTCGATGACGGGGCGGCCGGTGAAGTCGCCGGCGAGCCTGGGGTTGAAGTGCAGTATCCTGGGCGGCTCCTCCCCCTGCACGGCCTTGGTGCCCAGCAGCTCCACCATGAACTGCGAGGACGCCGCCCCGTCCCTCCTCCTCGGCCGGGCCACCACGGTCACGCGCGAGCCAACGGCCATCCCGCACGGGAGCTCGACGGCCACCGGGGTGCTGGCGAGGCGGTCACGGGGAACGGAGACGGTGGCGGGGCAGGACGCGGGGGCGGACGGTGAGGGGGAAGGGGAGGAGGAGGAGGAGGCGGGAGCGGACGGGGAGAGGAGGTCGGGCAGGAGGGGAGCCGCGGCGGCGAAGGCGGAGGAGGCGGCGGCGTCGATGGAGGAGGCGGAGGAGGAGTTGGCGCGGACGCGGATGGAGG